CGGTGTGGAAATTGGAATTTAAGGATCAAGGTTGCGGTCCAGTTATGACTGGAATGTCACGAGCTCGGAGGAGGGGGGGGAATTTCAGAAGTCTAGAGTAAGCTGGTGCTATTTTAGTGACGCCTGAGAATGGTGTTTTGTGGAAGAAGCATTCTGAATTGAATTACATATTCTAGATTTGTATTGCAGAAATAGTATGGTTGGTAGCCATTGATGTGCAGATTTTACTACCTGGTGCGGAAGGCCGTGGGAATATCTCCTGCGGGATAATCGTATAAATATGGCGTGTCAGTCATTTATGTGGTAGAGATTGAAATCAGGTATGATGATTCCGGTAATGTCGTTAAATGGAAATTTTATGTCTAAGAGACTTTATGTTCCTTGGTTGCGGACTGTGGAAGTTTGTTCCTGATTTGATGGTTGATCGTATGTGTCATGGATAGGGTCATTGTGGATCCTTGGGAGGTTATAGACCTATTGGGGATGATCGAAATCAGCCTTGAGGTCTGTGGGTAGGCCTAATTGTATGTATATTCTATACAAGATCAGATATGCTCACTCGGCATAGCATTGCTTATGGATAGGTCTTCGGGCGTGGTGGATGATATTCATGCCTTCGTCTATATAGGTGCTACTCTTTTATGCCATATGGGTTGTGAGACGGCTGGATTATTCACACGTGTGTTGTGATTTTATGTACCTTGTGGTGTTATATAAGCGAGAAGGCTCTGGAGGTGCATGTCGTTTAATGCACCTTAGTCGTGCTTGGCATTTTGTAGCGCATGGCACTATCTGTCTCCCCGGGGTTGTGTTTTTGCACTTGGCATGCTTGTGGTCGATATTCGGGCATAAATGGGTATAAGCATTTTGGCTCGATGGGTATTTCCTTATCGGTTGTTATGTGTGGATCGGTTTGCACGCCGTAACAGTGAAATGTTGAGTACAATTCCTTATACGTATTTCGTGTGTTTTGTTTATTACCCTTGAGATAGGTTCATAGAGTTGTCTGGTTGATTTGAATATTATGCGGGCTGGGTAATTCTTTACCAGAGTTCATTTTTCCTTATTGATCATATGCATGTTGTAGTTTGTCGACACATTGATGGCGTCGTATGAGATTTTAGATTGTGTTTGAGGTGGCTTATTGCCCGAGCAGCTTGTACTGGGTGAGACGGGATTGTTGGACCTGAAATCAGTGCAATCAGATTTATGTAATGTATATTAGAGGGAAAATGTCACAAATCAGTTCAGAATGAGGCAATGGTTCTTGTCAAGCAGAGAGACTTCATAAGTTATTGATTTGGAAGGTTGTTATGCATTTTTACACATCTTATTCATCGTTGCAGTATTGCGAGCATTGTAACATGGCTTATATATGTCCTAATATATATTACGGGCATCAGGTTCGTAAATTTTCAGCTATTGTGGTTGGATGATGTTATTATGGGCATACAAATTTTGCAGTGCATTGTGTAATTTCAACATGGGTGCATGATCATCTTTTGGTACAGCGTGTTGATATTTATATGGCGTACGTATGTTAGAATCGAACCTTATAGAGAATTCGTGATGTTGGAATTTTGTTCTAAGGCCTGTGGGATAAGGTAGCAGGAAGGATCTTCAGTCTGGCTTGAGCTAATGTGCTTATATGGGTTGCGATGGGACGGGTAGGTGCACGAGGTATTAAATAGTGATTTTGGGCAACACTAGAACGGTTCTTGGCGCATTCAAGGATGAACGTATATTTAAGTGGGGGAGAATGTAACTACCCGACCGGTCGTTTTGAGCTCTAGCGCGTCGTTCGACAGTTTGAGACCTTGAGTAGCTTCACCTTATGCATTATGAAGCTTTAAGTCGGAAGAGTTGACCAAGGTTTGACTTTTGAGTAAACGACCCTGGTATCAGGATTTAAAGGTTCTAACATGCTCGTATGATGATTTTTGATTTGGGCGTATGTTCGGATCGAGTTTTGGGTGGACCGGGAGCATTTCAGCGCTTATTGTGCAAAGTTGGCATTTTGCAGGTCTTGGAATTTCCTAAGTTTTATTTGAAGTGGCCTTTGGTGTTATAGATATCTGTTTGGGATTCCGAGCTTTGGAATATGTTCGTATTGGGATCTGTGGCTTGTACATAAAATTTAGCGTCATTCCGGATTATTTATGTATGGTTCAGACACGTTCGGTGAAGTTTGAATGATTTGAAAGTTAAGAGGACGTTTTGATCGTCGATTCATAGTTTTGATGTTATTCATGGTGTTTCGAGCCTTTCAACAAGTTTTGATGAGGTATTGTAACTTGTTGGTATGATTGGACGGGGTCCCGGGGGCCTCGCGTGCGTTACGGAATAGTTTCGAATCATTTCTCTATGTTTTGCTGTTGTTAGTTCTGGTTTCTGGTGTTGTTCTTTGCGAACGAAAAGGAACTCACGCGTTCGCGAAGAAGGAATTATGGCTGCTGGGAATTTGTGCTACGCATTCGCGAAGGTTTGGGGCAGAGGTTCATCGCGTTCGCGTAGTTAAGGCTGGATATGAGGAATGGCCTTCACATTCGCGAAGGAGAGGCCACGTTCGTGATGGTCAGGCCTGGTAAGGCATCGCGTTCGTGAGCCCTCTCTCGCATTCGGGAAGAAGGATCTTGGAGCAGGAGTTGAATGCGATTCGCGAACGCGAGGGACATGTCGTGTTCGCGATGAAGGGTCGTTGAACAGTGTATTAAGTTTGCGAAATCAGGATTTAGCTCATTTATTCCATTATAGCCGGTTTTGGGGCGATTTTGAAGTGGCTTTTTCATCATTCATCACGAGGTACGTGATTTCTACACATTTTGAGCTAAATACATGAGTTATATATGGATTCTAACATGAAAATTGGTAGAAATTCTGAGATTTTGGAAGAAAACCTAGAAATGGTATTTTTGGATTTTGACCACGAAATTAGACATAAAATTATAAATTATATATTTGAGTTCGTGGTGTTTTGGGTAATGTTTATCTTCGAAATTTTTTGAAATCCGGGCATGTGGTCCTGGGGGTTGACCTTGTTGACTTTTCGAGCAAAGTTGGGAACTATTATAAATTATTAAATTGCTAGTATTGGGTATATCTTGATTGGTTTGCACGTTGTTTGACTAGTTTCAAATCAATTGGCATCGGTTTGAAGTATTAGAGAAGTGTTAGAGCCGGCTATTGGATTTTGGAGCAAGGTAAGTCTCCTGTCTAACCTTGTGAGGGAAAAACTATCATGTAGGTGTTAAATTTGTTATGCTCTACTAGTTGTGCATTCTACGTACACAAGAGGTGACAAGAGTTTGTGTGTGGCTAAAATCATGTTCATGTCCGGGTAGATTTAGGATGTTATCATGCAATATTTGTATTACTTGAACTCAACTTATTAGTTTGATTACCTAAAATTTATAATTTAAATTTTATTAGAGATCATGCTAGGTCGAACCTCACTACCTTGAGTTGTTTGGCAGAAGATTTGATTGTCGGTAAAAGTAATGCTTACTTAATGTTCTCATTCTTGTGTTCTCAATACGTGGCCTATAATTCGATAAGTTTTTTCTCTTCCTGGGGATCGGGTCGAATGCCTCGGCATTGTTTTGAAATAGCAGTATATATGACGTGCATCTATGAATCGGGTTGTACGACCTAGGTAGTGTATGTATACAACTTTATGGATCGTGTCATACGACCTTGGCATATCGCTAGGAGTCCGAATATTCATGAGATTTCCCTTTTGATTGAGACCTGGCATTTACATGATATTCCTTATCTGTTTGAGATAGCACTTGATAAGTCTTATCTGTTGAGATAGCTTATGATAATTGAGAAATTCACATGGACATTATGTTGGAGGATTATGATAGTTAGAGTTCTTGCCTATTTACTACCGTTGTGTTTCATATCTATTTATAATTTATTTTACTGATTTATTGGACCACTAGTAAATGTCGATGTCGACCCCTCGTCACCACTTCTCCAGGATTAGGCTAGATACTTATTGGGTACGTATTAATTTATGTACTCATGCTACACTTCTGCACTGTTTGTGCATGTATTTTTGGTGGTCATTGGGGCACATGAGCGCAGCTATTTAGGGGACTTTATGGTGAGCTGCATTCTTTGTTATGATCCGCAGCATATGGAGTCTCCGTCATGTTTATTTATGTTGTCTTGTCTATTTTACATTCCATGCCAACATTGTATTAGTATTGTACTTCCTAGTATATGCTCACGCACCTGTTATACCGGATTTTGGGAGATTCTAGTAGATGTTATGGTTTTTTCTTAATATTGTCACCATTTCCTTTTCATGTTTAAAAATCTTTTTGTATTTCCATGGTTTTCTATGATTTCAAAAGAAAAAAATAAACAATTAAGTTGATAGTTCACTATTTGCTTGCCTAACGGTAACGTTGTACGCGATCACGGCCTATAGTGGGAAATGGGTCGTGACAAAGAGAGGTTCACAAAACATCAAGGAACTTAAGTATAATAAGAAGAGGAAAATGAAATTTTTTGATAAAAGATTTACAGTTTGCCATTACAAGAGATATAAAGGACTCCAACCTTGAGCTTTTCTTGAGCATGTAAACTACAGTAATGCAAATAGTGAAGAAAAATATGTCATTCTTGAAATTATGCTAGTTGTGTATTATTCACACATTCATATTTTTCTAACAATAATCCAAAAAATATTACACTGCAAAAAGCTCTGAAATCATGGGAACAATTTGGTTTGAACACAACTAAAGTAAATTATGCTTATAATAAGCAAAAAGACTGAAGATAGGAAAAACCAGAAAACAGAAGAGGAATTTTGAAGGGAAAACTTATTTTGAGAAGCTAAGCAAAAACTGACACAAGAAAGAAAACACGCACACACACACTCTTTTTCTCTCTTTTTTTTAATTACCACATTAGTGTTTATTACTAATAGCAGTTAAGAAAACAAAAGAAAGAGAAACAAGGAAAATGAGAACAACAGAGGGTACTCTTACCTCTAAGTTTCGCAAGATAAGGTTGAAGATCAACAACAATATCATCTTCTTCATCAGAGTCGGATCCATCATTAAGACCTTATACAATTTTAAAAAAAAATATATAAAATATTATAGTTTATTAGTTATTTAGAAAATAAAATAAACCAATCTAGAGAATATTAATTTACCTTCTCTTCCACAAATCCAATCCCTAGTACATAGCTTTGCCTTGGCATTTGCGGGAAGAATAGAAGTTCAAAACTTTCCAATAAAATGACCACCTACTAAATGCAGATTCAGAGGCTACTGTGGTGATTGAAACACTCAAGATATCTCGTGCCATTAATGAGAGTTCTAGATACCTTTGCCTATTATCCTTCCAAAAGCCACATCCAGATTCGGATTTGTTATACGGTCAAGATTAGCTTTCTCCAAATACAACTCTAGTTGTGTTTTACCGTTGCTTGACTCCAACTGACTCTCAAACTCATCAAATGCATCCCTCATTTCATTTCTACCATTACTACAAGCATGATCCCCCTTATAACGAGGTTGTAGTCGAAGGTATCAAGTACTCTTTGAACAATAATTGTAAGTTCTCTTCAATAGCCTTCACTTTTTCCTCAGCAATCTCCTCAGGATGAAGATTTGAAAAATATTAGGAAGATGCAAATTAGTCGTTCGGCATTTACATCCAGAAAATAACGCCGTAATGTCATAAAATGGCTTCAAAAACATAGCTATAATCTCGACCCTTTTTCATTCATCTTCAGAAAGGCCATGTCTAAAATCAACCAATCAAGTTATAGTGAATATAAGCTTGCCGATAAAGAAGAGCACTTTCAAGTATTTGGTAGGTGGAGTTCCATCGAATAGGCATATCTTGGCGTAGCTTCTTAGAACATGATAGACCAAGATTACTTAGACACTCCACAAATTTCATTATTCTTGTTTCTGAATTCTTGATATGCTTAACATCTTCTCTAGTTTTCGTAATAGCTGCATCAGCCTTCTCTAAGTTCGTCTTAACAATTAATTTCAAAATGTCATTCCCACAACGGACATGAAGAAACTTTCCGTCACAAATTAGTGAACTCATCGAAGACAAATGATTCTTTAAACTATTCACTACATTGTAATTGCAAGTAGCATTATCTAATGTAATGGTAAAGATTTTCTTTTCGATCCCCCATTCTTTAAGAAATTTAATCAACAAGGTACCTAAAATCGCACCCGAATGTGGAGGAGGAACATGACGAAAAATCAACACCCTCTTCTGAAGAACCAAATTTAAATTCACATACTGAGCCGTTACACACATAAAGCCATTAGATGCTAGTAAAGTTCACATATCTAATGTCAAACACAATCTACTAGGAATAGCATCAAGCTCGTTTTTAAAAATGTCTTTTTCGCTTGTATACATATTCAAAATATATGACTTCTCCTTGTTTTTTGATATATGCTTCGCTACTAGATTTAAATACGAATGAAGGTCTCTGATGCCTTTATGTTCTACAAAACTGAAAGCATAGTTATGCTTGACTATGGCTAATGATATTTTCTCTCGATAAACTTTCTGATCTATTGGTTCACTGTGACCCTCTTTTGTATTATTCAATGGATGTTTTATCAACAAATGGCGCTTCAAATTTGACATTCCAAATTTAGGATCATATATGTAGTCTTTTTCATAAAGCGTACATTGGACTTTAATCTTTCCATCACTAGAAATTACCGTCTATGTTACCTTAACAAAAGAATCCCGAACAGTGAAAATTTGTTGTTTTGATCATTTTAGTGTAGTTGAGGAGCTTTGTTCACAAGAATCAGCAATATCTTCCATTGACATCTCTATCTAAAGGTGAAGTAAACAGTAAGAATTATGCTCGATATAAATTAGTTTATTATAAGTGATATACAAACGATGAAAGACTTTGCGCTTAAAAGAAAGGCACATAGTAATTCCTCTTTGCTACTTTCAAAATTTCATAAGAATTAGAACACATATAGAGAAACGATCAAATAATAGCGAAGGGTTTCTTGAAATTACCTGATTAAAGAACTGAGAACAGTTTAGTCTTTTAGTTTGCCCACTGGGATTTCAAAAATCTTCCGACTAAGCAAAATCTTGTGAAACAAAATTGAAGCTGACTTTGGTCCTCCCAAATAGGTCAATGTTAGAAGAAGAAAGAGATAGAGAGAAGAGAGAAGAGAGAGAGAGAGAGAGAGAGAGAGGAGAGAATTGTTGGAAGTTGGAACTATGGGTGTTTAACGGGCGGGCTGGGACGGGCTGGACACAAAAAAAACTAGCCCGTTCGTTTAATGTTGCGGGCTGTTAGCGGACTGTACTTTTTCGGAGTTTTTTTTATCCGTCCGAGTTCGGGCTTAGCGGGCTGGACCGGGCCGTGCAATTTTTTATTTTTATTTTTTTAAGTAAATTTTATTTTTCTTATTCAATGTTATTGATACTTAAGTGTTTGCAAACTGTTAAGGCTTAGAATTAAACTTTGAAGTTTAAAGTTTTAAATTTAAAATTTAAATTTTACAATTTTAAAATTGAAAGTTGAAAGTAAGTGGCTACAAAAAATTATTTAATAAGACCAATAGGCAATATGTAAGGATCAAGCTCCGAAGACTTTCATTTGATATTTTTATTGAATAGTATATAATACTTGAAATTAAGTTGCAAGTTCTTTTTTGATTTTGTTATTTTTGAACTTGCAAATTAAAAGTTTACAACAATTATAAAAAGAAAAAAAGAAATAATACATCACATGCTTTGCATCATTTTTGTAAGTTCATTCATGTTAACATAAGGTTCTTGGTTTCCGACATTGGTTGAATCAGAACCATAAACTATTATATCTCAAATTTCTTGGTCCTCCGCTTCATCTACCTCGTCACGCTCTTGATTTCTCCGTTCTGATCTTATCCAATCTCTGAAGCACACTAGAATTTCCAAAGCGTTGCTGCCCAATGAATGACGGGTATCTCCTAGTTG